CAAATTGTAAAATAAAAAAATACATATCACTATCAATTATTTGCTTAAGATAGACACTAAAATTAAAACAAATTAGACTTAATAGTTCGACATTGTATCTTGAAGTTTTACATTTTTCCTTAGAAAATGTTACACAATATAAAAATCAATTTATTTTCATAACTAGTATTAACAAACGGCTAATCGAGGTTTTCATAAATTCAAATTTTTATTTTTTAAAATTTTTTTTTTTTTTTTTTTTTTTTTTTTTTTTTTTTGTTTAAGAAAACAAAAATTTTTGTCTAACCATTCGATATATGAGAACATACGATTAACATCTTGAGAAGAAAAAAAAAATTGAATGAAGAAAGAGAATAGAAAAATAACATTGTTGCAAGGACATTTCTTTAATAACTTCTTTTGACTGAAGGATGAGCGTCAATCATGATAGATAATTATTTTCTCATTTTTAGAGATAGATAGCAATATTTTTCAGAAAAGACAGAGCAAGAGAGAGACGTATTTCTGATCAGAGTTAAAAGGTTGTTCTCTTTTCTGTTAAACGAATAACAACAATAACAAAAAAAAAGTTTTTTTTTTTTTTTTTTTTTGTTACTTAAGAAAAATCTTAACGTTACAAAAAGCAAAATCATGTTTTGGGACAAAGTTTTAATATTTTCAATATTTTTTATTTATTTATCTCATGCTCAATCAACAAATTTTGTTGAAAAATATCGTCCATTACGCGAACAATGTCAACTTCAACCAAAAATTAGCGAATGTATAAAATTAAAATCAAAATTTAATCAATTATTAAAAAAATGTAAAAAATTAAATAATAAACAACAAGAAATATGTAAAGAAGTTCAATATAAATTATGTGCCGTATTTCCTGACGAATGTTTATCAACTTCAACTAAAATACCATTGACAACAAAAAAAATTTTAAAAATTATAACAACAAAAACACCGATCATATCAACAGTAACAGCAGTAGCAACAGCAACAGCAACAACTTCTGTCGTTAATGTACCAAGTGATATGGCTGAATTTATTAAAGTTCCTACTGATCCTGATGAATTACGTCGTCGTGGAGAATATTGTGTACGTCATGGTAAAGAACAAAAATGTAGTAAATTATTAACAAATTTAAAATCAAAATATACCACATGTACAAAAAAACCAAAAGAAGAAATTGGATGTACATCATTTCAAACTCATTTATGTCGAGCTTTTCCAAAATTTCCACCATGTACAAAAATGCCATCAAAATCAGCCATGTAGGTTATAGACATGTTGTTCATGGGCAAATATTTCTATTTTAATTAATTGTTATTGTGCGCCTTTTGTAGTATTCACCTTTCAAATTTTTTCATTTGTAAAGAGATTAGCCTAATGAATTCCAAATTATAAAAAAGAAAATTCAATAAAATGGTTTCGCATAAAAATAATTAGTTGGATAACGCTTACCAAATTGTATAAAGTAATCGAAATCAATTGTGAGACTTCTTTTCACACAATATTTTTTTTATTCTTGTAATTTCTGATTTTCAATGTAATAATCTATTTTAGCTTTCGAGCTTATTGAATACAAGATCCGAGATCATTATGCGAAAAATATAGTAAAATTAGGATGAACAGAATAGGAAAGAAGTAGAGTGCTGTGATATTATGAATATGAAGTCTTACGAAGAAACCTTCCTAGATGATCCAAATATATTTTAATTAAAACTAGGATAATTCTTCATACTCACGAGTCTGATATTCATTTGTCTTCTTATTAAGTTTCTCAATGGATCTTTAGGAGTCTGATATCTAGATATCCATCATGACTCTGAGAATCAGAAAATTCGAATCTGATCAGTTTGTAAAGCTCATCAAGTTGCCTCTGTGAAACAAACGTGTAGAACTCTCGAACAAGTTTTAACTGGGTTATAAAAATATTGATTTACAACAAATTATCTGACATTTTTAGTTTTTTGATAGTAAAACTTTTCTAGCTCCATTAAAACTTGTTCGGAAGTTTTATACATTTTTTCACAGGGATGACTCGATGAGCTTTACAAACTGACTAGATTCGAATCTCCTGATTCTCAGAGTCATGATGGATATCTAGAGACCAGACTTCTGAAGATCCATTGAGAAACTCAATAAGAAGACAAATGAACATCAGACTCATGAACATGAAAAACGAGCTTTAGAATGCTCTCTTTAATACAGCTTATGATGACACTGTGAGCTACCAGGAGGCTGTGTTCTAAGACTTGTACTCTTTCTATTATTTATTAATGATCTTCGAACGCCTGCAAAACTCCTTGGCCGTCTCTTCGTTGATGATCTAGTAGTATCAATTAAGAGAAATAACAAATTTCATCAGCAAATTAATATCTACAGAAGGACATTGTTCAAATCATTATCTAATATGAGAACAACATGTGTTAAACTTTTAAAAAGGTTCGTAAATCTATTTTTGAATTTTGTTTCCTCTCACTCACAGTGAGAAATTACACGAACATTTATAACTAATCAAAGGTGAAAAATTGTAATGGATCTTTTCTTTTCATTGAAATAGGCTTGGTGAGATATAGGCAGTCACAATAAATTACAATAATCGTCTCTAACAAGAAGAAATCAAATGTTCGCTTGACCTCACAAAATTGTCCACTGTGTCCGCTTGCTTTTCTCAATGCCAATGTAGACGAAAATGCTCTAGGCTACAAAAGAGCACTTTAACTCTAGGAGATATCACGTAATTAAAAGTGACAGCAACATCTTACAAAAACAGCTGTGTTTTGTCAGTAAATGCTTGAAACAATCAACAGAATTTTTGGAGAGACATCATTTGAGTATTCTTCATTCAGACAGCTTAATTACGTCTAGTTACTTAAATTTCATCTTAATATTCATAAACACCGATAATACCATTTTAAGAACGAGTAAAATCTTCTTTTTTCTAGCCATCGAAGGAAATTTGAAAACATATTTCGGTTTATATCAGTTTGTCTACACGATGTACACCATTTGCATTGCTTTTCTTTTTGTTTCTTTGCTCTTCTCTCTCTCTCTTTACTTTGTATTTCCTAAGCTCTAACTCTTGGTTGTAGCTTTATTGTAAAGCTTGTAACATTTTCTATGTGTCTGGCTTTTTATGATTGAATCAATTAAAAGTTGAACTCTTTCACACTGGATGGCAGAGAAAAAATTTGACTCAAAACTGCATACCACTATGCTTGAATACACAAGAGGAGGGTAGGGTATAATACTTGGTGAGAAATTGATCATAATTATCATGTGCACAGTTGTCTTCTAAAGTAAAATAAAATGTAAGAATATGGACGTATATTTCATATTTACATTCTATAATTAAAAAAAGTCTATTTGACAGTTAATAATAAAAGATATAAGAAAAATATACAAAAAAGCATAAAAGTATCAAAAAAAAAATTATTTTATATCGTATAAAAGACGAACGTATATACACAGAGCAAATGTGTCAAAAAATGTTTAAAAAAAACAACAACATACCTTGGAATGTAAAATAAACAGAAAAATACCAATCACCACAAAAAAAAAAATGGCTCCAAATAAAAACAAAACACTGTACAAAAGAAAAAAATGGAATGCAACATTATTCCAAACAGAGACGTCTAGTTAGATCAAATCTTCATATTGAGATTCACATAACATAAAAAAATGCGCATATATCATAATATTTTTTGTAAAAAACTAATAAAAATAAGCAAAAGAAAAAGAGTTCTTTTAGATGAGAATAAACTTGATGATAAATTACACATTCTCGGATCAGTTCTAATTAACATCTGAATTATATCTTGACCTAAATAGTCTTCAATTGATGATGTTACACGTGTCAATTGAACGGTCGAATCCAAAAATAATAAATCCGGATGTTCATAAAACGAAGCAAACATTGCGAAGTCTTTATTACTAGAAAGACAAACGTTTTTGTTAATATTATTTTAAATAAGAAGGAGCAACTTACGTATCTGATCCAAATAATTGTTGTACAAAATTTAACATATTCCAAATGTATAATTTGTCTAAATCAGTCTTTGAAGCTAAAGGATGACAAACAACATTATACTGTAACAATAAAATGAGCAAATAAAAACAAATAACTGCTTTAGAAATACGCATATACATTTTACAGAAACTATTTAAATTGTCTAAACGTAGGGCGAACTGATGAGAGAACAATATCAAGTGTTCAATCGTTATCTTCTTGGAAACATACTTGGTTAAGTGTAGCTTTTTCAACTAGTTTATAGAGACATGGGCAACTCAACATGCTCTATAAATTGGAGCTGTATCAGAATTTGTTCAAATGAAGGTTGATGATAGACTTGTAGAAACTGAATTTTGTGAGATCCATAGAGGAAAGCTCCAGCAGCAAAAATGTCTGTCAGAGTTAAAAGTACACTTAATCAAGTCTGTTTTGAGAGGACAACAATTGGACACTTGAGGTGGTTCCCTCATGAGAGAGAGGAAGAGTGTATTTTAGGCAATACGTACATGCTGTCATGAGAACTCTAGCTGGCACTTTTAACATGTGACAGTTTTTGAATCCATCTATTGTTTTTCGAGTGCCATTTTTACATAATAATTCAAAGTCAATTGCTCTCAGAGGTCGTGCCCATTGATCGACATTTCGTCCATCTGTATTCGATATAACTGCCGTGTGCATGACAAATGCCACATGACCACCAGTACCTTAGAAAAATAGTATTCAAACGTAAAACATAAACAAAATTGACTATAAAATCGTCATATACCTTCTGTTAAACATCGAAATGCACCTGAATTTCCGTAAAACATTTCTCGCTGAGATCTTGAACAATAATCCGAACCTTTCGAATAACATTTAAGACATAATGCACGTGGATTTGTTTTTAGTTTATTATAATCATAATCCAGAGCTCCTGGAACACATGAACGGCCAAAATATTCACCTAAACAGAGAAAAACAAAACATGCTAGTAGAAAAGTGTCAAACAAATTTGTTCAAACAAAATTTTAACTCTTTCATCAAAGAAATGTTTGTTTGCAATTTAAACAAACAATAGTGGCTACATTTATCAATATGTAGATGTTCTACAGGAAAATAAACTTTAGATTTATACATACCAGCCACTTTATTAATATGACAATCTTGTACAAATAATTCTCTAATTGCCGCCAAATAATCAACAGGTACGTGCCAACCAGCCAAATCTCCAACACCTGTTGAACAAATTGTTTTACCTGAAAAACACAAAAAAAATTACCTTAGTTTTGTTTAAAAATGAAATAAAATTAAGCAAACCAACCTCTTAAATTCCATAAATTTGTTGTTAAATCAGTTCGTTTCGCTACCGCCACAGCATACATAACATTTGTCTCTAAATCCACTCCATAATCTTCGGCAGCAAGTGGAAGTAAATCATAGTATCTTCAAAACGGTAAGAATAAAATTAATGTTTACTCTTTTTAACAATAGAAGCTGTCTCATTCTATACCTTGTTGCTCGAAAAGCATCAGCTGAATCGAGTGTAATGATATCAGCAGTGCCTTGTTTTATTTTCGACATACATTCCATAGCATTTTTCGATGATATACAATCCAAATCCGGTTTGATATTTTTGCGTGTAAAAGCATTTTTCATTAAACGACATTTTTCCTTCTCGTATGGAGATAACACGCACCAACGTAAAACCCGTAATGGACAATCATACAAACGCAATAACATTGCCAAATAATCATTGCCTAAAAGAGAAAATTAATTGATCAAATTATGTTTTTTTTTCTGCAAAACAAATTTTTTTCAAGAGTCACTCTTGTAGACTGAAGAGTTTTCTTCAGAATGAGATGTCTCCCACCGCTTCGCAATGTTTTCTTCGAAAGTTATTAACACTTTGCCAAAAACATCCAAAAGAGTGACTTTTCTAACGTTCCGACTCGGGTGTATTGCGTAGCGTACCGATTTCATCAAAACTTAGAGCTAACATTTCTAAAACAGATATCAAACATCTATACATTCAGGAGTTTTGAGATTTAGGTCTGTCTCCAGAGCCTTTTCGTCATACTAAGATCACAACATCTTCCTAAATACGGTCATTTACTTTCTTAACTATCTGAAACAGTTGTTGTTCTTGCTGCTAATATCAGATGATTTCATTTTATGAACAAACAAACAACAAATCGTAATGCTTCATTTTTTCGTTACAGCGCTAGATAAGTTTTAACTATTTTTCTTTTATTGTAAGCGTTTGATCCTGTAAAAAAAATGTCCGTTTGTCCCTGTATTTGTGCACAAAATTGACTTTTATTTACATGTAGTCGTTGTTAAAAGTTAGAATAGAAATAATCGATCATAAAGATGAAAATAATAAATCTCTACTAAATTTGCGAACGATGGTCAGGCAATTTTTGGATTCTATTGATCTTTTAGTTTTGGCTTTGAGTGAAAGTCTTGGCCTTGAAGTGGAAAGAAAAGTACTGTGTGTAAAAAATTAGGTATCGAACTTTCGAACTCGAATCGTGTCTAGCGGTGGAAGTGGTTCGAAGTTACAGAGAACACCTCAATCGATCATACATCAATTTGAACTCAAAAGTCGATCTTCTTTATTTCAGGAGAGGGAATGTCTCCTAATAATTGAAATTTTGTATACAAGAAGTTTGTGTATATCATTTTAGATATAAGACATTACTTTCGATATTTCAGCATAAATTAATCATTATTTTACGAAAAAAAAAATTCTCTATCAGTTGTAATTTACCTAAATATGTTGCATATGTTGTTTTATCATTCAGAGCATTAAATCCGACAGCAATATCTGAAAATAGTAGATCATAACCATTGAATCTTCTTGAATTAAATAATTGAAATATAGGATTTTGAAATGTAAATACATTTGCTGAATCAATAAGAACTTGTTTATAAATATCTCGTAATTGTTTTGGTCGTCGATGTGATACGATAATAGAATTTGCCGGCGATATTCCCCAATTACATTGTTGATAATTTTGCCATGATGCACGTTGATTATTCACTGGACATAACAGCTCAAATTGATCTGAGGAAAAAAAAAGTTAGATAAAATTTTTCAACAATAGATAATATCATTGTTTGTATTTTTATTTCAAATTACCTAATGGAAATGTTGGATCTAATTGTTGTAATTCTAAAAGTGATGTATGTCTAATAAATGCAATATCTCCTTTATTTGCTAGACAATAGAGTGCACCAATATTTCCCGCATAAGGATCTTGATTTGTACAATAATTAACACCTGGTAATCCTTGACATAATTCACAAACAGATGCTGGATTATCACCTGTTGGATTAAACTGACGATTAAGTGCATCAGGAGCACACATTTCACCAAAAAGTAAAGCGGCTGATTTAACATGATTATTACAATCAATTATATTCAAACGTTTATCACGAAGTAAATGTGAGATGGGTATATTCCAACCAGCTGATGAGCCGACAGATGAATGACAGGAACGTGCACCTTGTAAATTACTTAAAGAAATTGGAGAATTACGACGAACAACAGCGACAGCGTAATAAGCAGATGGTGATGGTCCTAAAGATGTGAGAAAATATACAAATAAATTTTAAATAGTTTATACATATTAAAGATTTAGAATATATTGATTCAACTAAGTTTAAAAGTCATCCTTATTTGTATTATGAAAAAGAAAATGAATAGTACACTCTATGAAGTTAAAGTACGGCTTTTGTACTTTTTTTCTCACATATATTGTTGTACTGTTGACATGAGCAATTGTAAGAAAATAATTGTTTTCATTCATACCTCCAAATAATTGTGTATTTAATAATTCATTCATAATCGGTACTAAATTATAATATCTTCCAGCTGTATATATTTCTCCTGAATCAGCATTCATTAAATCGGCTTCATCATTAAATATTTTTCGATAACAATCATATTTATCACGACCGTGAATACATGCTATTTTTGATAATGTAAAATTTTGTAGCATAACTGCGTCACGCCACATTTGACACTTGTTATATTCACCCTCATTCACACAACACCAACGAACTAAAATAATATTTTTGATAGAAAAAAAAGTAGTTGTATATAAATTAAAAACATACTTGTTGTTTGAATATTATTTATATTATTATCAACATTGTAAATACTAAATGGAACAATATCGTACTGACTATATTGACTGTACACATACCGAATAAGAGAAAAAACTAACAAGAACAAAAAAGACATCTAAAAATAAATAAACTGCATTTGTCATGTTGAATTGAAGTAAAGAAACAAGAATGAAAATATGAACGTTAAAGAGAGTAAATCGAATAAACGTAATAAAACAAAATCACTGTAAAGTCAGTTAATAGATAAATATTTTTTTTCTTCTACTTTAAATGTAAAAATTAAACTACTCTAATCAGTAATTTGAATAATAAAGAATGTGGTATTCCATCAAAACTAAATTTACATTTTGTAAAAACAACAATAATAGAGTGTACAATGTATATATTGAAATTTTGCTTTATATTTTGCCTTCTGGGTGACTCGGCAATAACATATGAGAAAAAAAAAGATGCAATACATTGGTTACTTGTATTCACACATTATCTTAGCGAACTGGTTGAAAGGAAAACTTTGTTTCTAACTTAATCGTTCTGTTTAATTAGCTGAAAACAGAAAAGGATGTTTAGAAGAGAGACGAAATAAATACAACCTTTGAGAAAACAAAAAGAGAGGTACTATTTTGATATGAATAAAATTATGGATAAATGGGAATCGCCGAAACTATCATTGATAGATTTTACGAATACTAGTAATAAAAATATAGTTAGAAGAAAAAGCATTTTAGAAATCATTTATTGAACAAATATTTTACTGTTATTAAAAGTCGATCTAATTTCTCTCGTAAATTCTGTCAAATATCAGTAAAAATTGCTCATGAATAATGATTATGCCATTAAATTGTTTATTAAACGTACGATTATTATTAAATAATGAGTGCTTTCTGCTGTTATCGGGTGTCCCAGGTAAAATGGCCCTTTTCTGTTTTTGCGATAACTCCATCATTTTTTGTGCAATTTCCTCAAACTTTTTTTTAAACGATGTGCCATTTAATTCCCTACAAAAACATGTGTCACCAATTTTCTCGGAGTAGAAATTCTTAGAGTTATAAAAGAAGAAGCGAGGATGCGTAAAAGTTCCAACTTTCTAAGGCAAAAAATGATTTTTCCCAAAAATCTTCCTCAGAGTCTAAAATCCAAGACGGCCATTCGAAAGACCGAAAAAAGTTCTATCAGATAGTCACTTCCAAAAATTTTCCAAAGCCTGCATCGGCGAGAAGAGATTTTTCTGTTTTCTCAGAAAAACACCATTTTGCAATTATCTTTTTATCTCTTCCACGAAAATTCTCATAACTCAGCCAAAACTCATCTTTTTTCGATAATTTTTTTTTCATTTTGTAGCCTGTAGTCGCACGTACTCGATGAAATCGCTTTTGATAATTTGGCACAGCGCATGTCTACTCTATTTGACACAGGTTGTAAAAAAAGCCGAATTTTTTGGTACTTGCAAAAAATCTTGACTTTTTGAGCCAGCTAAGTGGACAACAAACGTTACTTGTAGGCCATTAGAAAGAGCATACTTTAAAGTACTAGAAACAAACATAAATTAAAGCAGTCAGTG